AAAAAAAAAAAAACTCGGCGTGTTTAAAACGGCATGAAAAATGGATGACTAGTCGACCAAGGCACTGTAGTTTTTTTTTTTTTCATACATTTATTGTTAAAGTCTTCTCTTTTTGCAGATACAGGAAATGAGAAATCAAGCTCTTATAATTGCTGCACCATTCTCCTTTACATTGGGTCTTACAGCTTCGATTTTTGCAATCATCCTCGGTACGCGATTGTTTTGGAAAGTCTATAGTGATTCGTACTTGGGTCTCAGAAAATACGAGTCATCCAAATAATTAATTTTCTTGTGCAGCAATAAAAGAGTATATATGGACTTACGCGGCTCTTGAGTTTGCTCTCGTGGCCTTAATCCTGCATATTTTCTATACACTGGTGACAAAAATTTAAACTTTCGGTCGCCTTTCATTTTAACTGCTCATATTTTGCTATCATTCAAATGTTATATACATTCTTTCTTGTATCGACAGCTCCAATTACCACCCATTCATGCAATCCTGATATCATCATTCGTGGGACTCGGATTGGCCGTGCTTCTTAATGCCATATACATCCGATTCTTTTCGTGGCGTGCACAAGTCTCTCAACCCACTAACCCTAACCCAGTGTGATTGATTAAAAGAGAATGTTTTATCTGGATTTTGTAAAAGATGTTGAGTTGGACACTCTGCAACTACATGTTAGTTAGCGTAGGTCGATCTTTATCGAGCACCATGTAATGCATATGGAAATTTGTGTGAGAAATAGGTAAAGTTGGAAGAGCTCGATAAGGTCAATGCTCGACTTGGCTCGGGCCTGTGTAGTAACAGTAAGTACATTTATATATCTTTTTTTGATTTGTGGAATTAGTTGTGATGCTACATTAACATTCCCCCAAAAAATATAGTGTTTGGTATAATAATATGGTAAAAGGAGGCGAATTTGAGCGGCACCTTGTTGCTCTTTCTCACAAATTGAATTTTCTTTAAATAATCATAACACTCAACCATGTGATGCATGAATCATGATAGATATGTAAATAACAAATTATTATTATTATTATTATTATTATTATTATTATTATTATTATTATTATTATTATTATTATTATTATTATTATTATTATTATTATTTCTTTTTTTTTTCTACTTATTTTTTTTATACTGATATTGTTATATTATATCAATTTAAGGTTTACGACATTTTAGGATTTTCATTTATGATATCTAATAATTAATTAGTTAATTTTACTAAGTTTATTTTAAAAATTTAATGTTGTGAACGTTTTGAGATTTTTATTTTTATTTTTTCTTATAACTGAACTAATTAAAATAGTGGTTCCACAAACAACTCGTTAATTTTTCATTTTATGTTGTATATTTTATGTTTGGAATGGTTCTCTACACAAGTTCTGCGTTTATTTTTTGGGTTAATTGCCAAAAAAATCACGACCTTTCGTTAAATTGCAAATTAATCTCAATCATTTTAATTTTGCAAATTAATATTGTCTCAAAATTGAATTCCGGCCATCCACCGCCACAGGCCGCCGCCTGTCTCCGGCCAACCTCGCCGGAATTGAAATTTTTTTACGTCATCGCGTAGCTCTCCTTCCGGGCAACAACATATCCGAAGTTCGTGTAAAAATTACGACAATAAGGGGTCAATTTTTTGGTAAAAGCAAGTAGACCTACAAATTTTATCCACCGTTCTTTCGCAAATTTTCGGCGACTTGCTTTGACCCACACGAATCCAAAAGTACTGTTGAACTCCTCTCGGCGAGCCGCTTCTATTGACATTCACCATCGGCGGAAACAGTGACTTTTTCCGGCGACGAGTTTTCCGGTCATCTATTGACTGAGAAATTGGACCCCTTATTGTTGTAAAAAATTATCAATTCCAGCGAGGTTGGCCGGAGACGGGCGGCGGCCGGTGGCGGTGGATGGCCGGAATTCAATTTTGAGACAAAATTGCAATAATTAATAAAGGTTGAGATTTATTTGCAAAATTGAAAAAGTTGAGATTATTTTGCAATTCAACGAAAGGTCGTAATTTTTTTGGCAATTAATCCTTATTTTTTTCAAGATAAAATTTGTCAAACTTATATAATACAAATATAGTAACTATCATCTCATATTTTTCTATGCTAAAAAAATTTATCCACAATATATTTTACTTTCTATGTAGATAATATAGTGTAAATAAATATGATCATACGTTACTTATAGTTTTACAAATTAATATTTTTTAAATTATGATATTTAGAAAGTAAATATTTTTATTTTCTAATTTAATGAAACGCATATTATATTTTTCTCGATTCAATAATTCGGATAGTGACTTAACAAATAACTTGATCATTTAAAATCTTATACTTGTAGTAGCATCATATTGTTATACACGCGTACATTTAAATTATTAATAAAAATAAAAATATTTCAAACTAAATAAAAAATATAGAAAAATATTATTGTGCGTTTGTCAATGATAGTTTTTAACTTAATTTTGTATTTTATGTTATAAAAACCCTATATGCATTCATCGTTTAATTTTAATTTTGAATGATAGTTATTAGTTTAACTAGTGCAGACGGAGTGCACAATTTCAAGACTATTTAGAAAAAAAGACTTACTTTAGATCCATAAAAATTAATGCAACCATTTAGGTATTGTCAGTTTTTTATCAACAGCCAATCTAACATCTACAATAAAAAAACCAATATGTTATAATTTAATTACTTTGAAATAAACAAATAAAATTAGAAACAACATAAAATAATCTTACCGAATAACATCAATTCATCGATATTGTTGACATCTTGTAGAGTTGCAAAGTCTTTAAATTGAAATTGAAATACAGGAAATTCTTCCTTGCACTTTGTAAACATAGTGCATCATGATATTAAAATCACCGGATGTCGAACGATACTTCCTTATATTGTTGTCCACTTGATAATTTTTTATACAAATGACCATGCTCTCCTCAAAATTCCTCTCTCTAAACGCAGCCAAGTTGATTGCTTGTAGCCATGCCGTAACGTGATTTCCCTAAACATATACGAAAAAACAATCAGTGAAAAAATAAATTGTTTTAAAAACATAAAAATGTATATTATATATACTAACGAAAATATATGTTAATATTTTGAAAAAAAAAGAAGTAACAATAATTTGCCTTACCGTTTTATCATGCAGAACCAACTCGAGATAGGATTTGTATTGCTGCCACAGTCTTGGAAAAATATTCTTATAATTCGAACTTTAAGCATAGGTCTATTAGACCTATTAACTTGTTTGATTAAGCCAAATTCTTGATTCATTGTTATGAATCACACTGATTGTCAATTTTTTTTTTTTCCACATGAGGTTAAAAGTGAGGAACACACTGATTCAATATTTGAAGATTTATAATTTATAATTGCATTATCGCATTATATGTAGAGATAATGTGAAGGAAATCATATCAGACCATTATATGTAGGAACAAATCAGATCATATTTATATCGCATTATAATTTATAATTGCATAATCGCATTATAATTGCATTATCACATTATATATAGAAGAACAAATCAGATTATATTTTCCATACATTCAGATAAGTTTTTATGTACAATAGCATTAAAAAAAAAATTCCATACAACAAAACACTTCAATTTTGGCGTGAAATATGATTTAATTTTGGAGGAAGCTTTTTTTTGTTGACCAATCAAAACTGTTTTTTTATTGGTTTAGTACATTTTGTTGTACCGGTCTTATTATGGGAAATAAGTAATAAGTTATTTCATATATATTACGTATTTGTAACAAAAAAATAAATTCTCTCGTCGGAGAGCGTACCAGATCTTCTGCTTCTTCTTCCTTTCTCTGATTATAGCTTCCTTCTCAGCTCCATCGCTTTTTATTCCTCTCCCCGAGTCGTCCTTTCGCGGCTGAGTTTTTGTTTGCATATCAATCTCGGAGATTAGGGTTTAATGGGAACCCCTAATTGTGTTGGACAAGATGAAGAACTCTCGAAGAAATTGCAGAGTGTGGATCTTTCAGACAAAGAGCACAATTCCATTGCCAT